TCCAGCACCAGATCCAGCACCAGATCCAGCACCAGATCCAGCACCAGCACCAGATCCAGAACCAGAACCAGCACCAGATCCAGCACCAGATCCAGAACCAGCTCCAGATCCAGAACCAGCACCAGATCCAGAACCAGATCCAGATCCAGAACCAGCACCAGAACCAGGTCCAGATCCAGCCCCAGATCCAGATCCAGATCCAGCACCATATCCAGATCCAGATCCAGATCCAGAACCAGAACTGAGCTGCTTCTCGACAATCCGAACACAGAAACAGAGGAAGGTTCAGCTGACAGATCTGAACTCAAACTCACACACATCGTATGCAAATGGAGTCAGAGCTGCCAGTTTACATCACACACACCATCACACAGTTAAACAAGCAGCTGCTGGGAGAGTGTGTGTGTGTGTGTGTGTATGTGTGTGTGTGCGTGTGTGTGTGTGTCACACATGAAGAAACAAACACACCTGCTGCTCTCCTCCCACAGCAAACAGCATCTCATTAGAGAACCGGATCGCTCCAGAACCAGAGAGAAACCGGTTCTAAAACCTTAAACAGCTCAGCTGATCCGGGCGCAGAGTCCCGACACGTCGGCGCTCTCCTCAAGCTTCTGCTCACAAACTGGGTCCAGTTCTGGATAATGTTCCTGGATTAAAGACATCAGGAAACCAAACAAACCAGTAAAACGTTTTATGACTATTGGACGTCTGAAAAAAAAGGTCAACAAAGTTTACAAATTACATCACAGACCCACATGATAAATGAATATCAATAACCTGAAACTTCTTCTTCTTCTTTATGGATGTTTAATAGTTTACATCCATAGAGGCACATTACTGCCACCTAAAGGTAATAATCACTATGACTTCTCAAATCCACAGGAAGGACGTAAATATTTACCGAACCAGAAATCCAACTCACTCCTATGGCAAACATTGATTATAAGCAATTTTAGCTGTAGGCCAACGTTGCTATTTAGCTATAAGCTGCTTTTCCATTGACAATATAATTATGCAAATTGGAACTGTGGGATGAAGTTATTTTAGCGTAAACAAACTGACTCCAGATCTCCGGCACTGTGATAGGGTTGGTTTTCAGTCACAACACAATTATTATCTTTAAGAAAACTACAATGAAGAAAACCATTTCTCACACACTCCCAGTTCAGAACCAGAACTCCATCACCTGCTCCACCTCCAGCTGCTGTGGCTCTGAGTCAAACCAACCTGTTCCCCTCCTGGCCTGTGGGGGCGCTGCACCAAGAACCACTGAAGGAAACGACACAAAAACCTCTGATGGAAACAAGATGGAGGCGTCAGATTTTAGCGGTTGGAGGATTTCTCTTTAGTCTTTGGCTAAAGACCAGGAGCCATTTCTGCTGCTAGCGCTATGCTAACACATTAGCTTTGGTTGCATTTACCCAGAATGCCCTGCGCTGTAGTCCACTTCCTGGTTTGGTCCGCTTGTTGCTCAGATGCATTCACACAGAACCAGAGTTCACTTTTCTGACATGCAGCTCACTGTGATGATGATGATTATGATGATGATGAAGGTTTTAAAGTCAAAGGTCAGATTCACATGTTCAGTTTCTTTCTGCTGCTCATATTCTGTTATTCCGTCTGATCCAGACAGACAGAAGGATGTGCGAGACGATCTGAGCTCCTCTTCCTCTTCTTCGTCTGTCATTCTCTGAGATAAAAGAGACGATCACGACCAGCGAGGAAGACCTGGAGGGAAAGGAACGGCAGGTAAACAGGCAGACAGGAAATGAAACCATGACTGACAGACTACAAATTGAAAGAGAAGAAGATTTCTGATTGGTTTCGCTCAGATCTCTAAATCTCCTTCTGGAGTTTTTGTTCAGCTCCTAAAACGGCAGCAGGAACGAAACCAGGAGTTTAGTTCATCTAAACAGAACCAGACCGACCAGAACCATCCAGGAGGATCCAGAAACATCCATCAGTCAGAGGAACAGCTGGTTGCTCTGCAGGGATCAGATAACTGAATATTTCAGTCTCTCCCATGCCGTCTCACCTAAAAAAAACATTAGCCACTAAAAAATGCAAATTTCTCAAGTTGGTTGTAAAGCAGCATTTATTTTTGCACTAAATTCTCCAGTATTTTTCCCAGATGAAAACTTTTGGTGTAACCTGCAGATTTACAGTTGTAAATAAAAGTGAATGTGATGAATGCAGATTAAATTCCCTGCCGTAGTTATGATGAACGACACGGAAACATCACATCTGTTTTCTCCAGCTTCTGCTTCACTTCATGAAAACTTCTGATCCAAACTTTGTATTTACAGCAAATAAATCAATAAATCACTGATCAGAAGCCATATGCTGAGTTCACTGCAGGACAAATTTACTTTAGACTACAGAGCCATGAATAAAACATGCAGCTCTGCAGCCTTGGCTTTCTCTTTCTCTTAGTTATGATCATTTTTTTCCATTTGAGTATAAGTAGGAAAATATTGACCTTGGAAATGAGGTTATCTTTTAATTACTCGGCGGCTGTGGTTACACAACAAGAAGCAGTAAGTGAGCCGGGAATAAATTAACATTTAATTACAAGAATCACTTTCTGGTTCTGCTTGTCTTTTTACAGTCGTCTAGGGAAACAAAGAGGAACTATCAGAAGTATTCTCTATAATCCGCCGTTTGTCCAGCAGCTGAGGCTTTGGTTTGACACCATCAGTCACCTGGACCGCTGGGCCGCCGGCCGGACGGGCCACCGGACGGACGGGCCACCGGACGGGCCGCTGGAGCTCCGCAGGGCTCTGTTCTCCCACCGTTTACTTAACTGTCATCTGCAGAAATATCAGACATGGAGATAAAATGGGCTGCGTTCCCACAGCCCTGTTCAGTCCACTTTAACCCGACTCCGGTCTGTTTGCCTAGAAAGCCCAGTTCGGTTTGTGAGGTGGGAACACTAATCGACCTCTGACCTCTGGTCCTCCAACCCTCGGTCTGGGTTCGGTTGAAGTGAACTCTGGTTTGGTTTGAATGTGAACGCCAAGTGGACCGGAGACCACTACAAAAGCAGGAAGTGGACTACAGAGCAGGGCATTCTGGGTAAATGCAACCAAAGCTAACTTGCTAGCCTTGCTTTAGCAGCAGAAATGGCTCCTGGTCTTTAGCCTAAAGAGAAATCCTCCAACCGCTAAAATCTGACGCCTCCATCTTGTTTCCATCTGGTGAGGAAGGAAGTTGCTCTCAGTGTCTTCAGAGGTTTTTGTGTCGTTTCCTTCAGTGGTTCTTGGTGCAGCGCCCCCACAGGCCAGGAGGGGAACAGGTTGGTTTGACTCAGAGCCACAGCAGCTGGAGGTGGAACAGGTGATGGAGTTCTGGTTCCAGTAGAACCGGGTCGACTGGACCATCAGCAGGGAAAACAGCTTAACTTGTCGGCGGCGACACATCTAAATTTGCAGTACCGTAATTCCGCCACACATAGCGCTATCTGAAAAATTCCAACGGTTTCTGAAAGGGGAGACGTTGCACTTTCCAGCAAGTATCGGGTTAATACGGCAACTTCACAGCTGCAGCTGCAGAGAGTGTAATTAATCCGGGGGACACTCGTTTAATTGTGAAAATAACTTGCTGGATATTGAAAGTTCCAGTTGTTATCGATACATGGGTAAGTATATCATCTCACAGGACATTTAAAGAACTACTTACAATTAAAATAAGGAAGATTTATTTAGGCAGACACTTGAAACTTCGGTGTAAAACATGGAGAAAACAAAGGAGATGACTGCAGATTTCTAGATAAACAGGGTCAAAGGTCAGACACTGTTTTCATGTTGGGAGAAGAAGTGGAGGATGAACAACAGACTGATGGATTCTTCATAAAATCTAGAAAATAACAGAGAACCCAGACCCTCCTCTTCACCATCAGTCAGAGGCTTATTTAGCTGTGCTGTAACACTGACCTCTACAGGAGGCCTGAAGCTCATCAACATTCAAAATAAACCTTTGTAGAAACTTGGATTTTCTGAGTTGCATCAACATTTATATTCCATCTGGGATTAATTATGGATTTTTGGGTTGAATCTTCTCATATCGTATTCAGAGTTCAGGTTTCTGCTCCTCCGTTCTTTGTCACTGACCTTTGACCTGCTGCAGCCTGGTTGCAGTGCCATCACCGCCTCTGTTTTCTGCTTCATTTGTGAGGAGAGAAGCTCTCGTCCTCCCACGCTCTCTGCGCCGTGTCTTTGTTCTGTCGGCGGATCGCAGCTGAGAACCTGCCGAGTTCAACTGAGAGTTTATTATAATTCAGCTGGGATTTTTTAATTCACACGTTCGCTGAGCTGCCGGCGAGAGAACAGACCATCTGCTCTGCTCCTCACACAGGCAGCCGGCGCACGCAGCGCCGAGCTATTATTACGCACAGGCAGAAAAACACGGCGGCATGTCGCACCCAGGTTCACCCCACGCTGTGACATCATCACCACATGCTGTGACATCATCACCACATGCTGTGACATCATCAACCCATGCTGTGATGTCACTAGCCAAAGCTGTGATGTCATCACAGCGTTTAGCTGGAAAACTGATTCCAGGCTGCAATTATTTAACACCGGGAACCTGAAACAACTGCTGGCTCATCAAAAACTGGATGGATTTGAATTTTTACATTTTTTTTTAAATTCAATTTTTTCTTCATTTGTTTTAATTTTTACATTTTATTTATTTTTTTATATTTTATTTATTTTTTCTTCCATCGTAAATTTCTTTAAATTTGTCATCTTTAAAAAAATCTTTTTTTTTAATTTATGTAAAAAGAAATTCTTAAATTTTTATTTTGAGTCATTCATTTTAAGTTATCATGCCAATAATCTTATTAATTTAATTTTCTTTAATTTTAATTGTATTATCTTTTACTTTAATTTATAAATAATATTTATTATTTTTTAATTTTACATATGTCTTTAAAGTTTTTTATTGCTGTGTTGGGATTGATCTTCTCTTCTAGAGACGCCAGCTGGAGATGACCTTTGACCCTTGCTCCTATGAGGTGTTGTGCTAATGATGATCAGATAATCAATACATGTGATGAGAAGTGAAGGCACTGTGGCGCTGCCCAGGGTGTACTGTCTTGTTGCAGGGTGTACTGTCTTGTTGCAGGGTGTACTTTCTTGTTGCAGGGTGTACTGTCTTGTTGCAGGGTGTACTTTCTTTCCACAGTAGCAGGAACATTTCCCTGTACGGTTTCCCGTATGGATGGACAGAAAGCTGGAATCCTCCTCAGAGCTTCTCACAGAAATATTCATGTCCAATATTCCAGCAGCAATGACTCAGACTCCTGGAAAATAATTACAGCTCCCCCTGGAGGCCGGCGTCCCGCTGACCCCCGCCCCCCAAATCAGGCTGCAGCAGAAAATCACTTACAGGGATTTTCCTCTGGGATGAAACTCATTCCAGACTCTCTCAGATAATAACTCTGCAATTATGGAGGCCGGTGGCAGCACAGGGCGGCTGGGACGGCTGGGGGCGGGCGGATAGAGCCGGGTGGCCTTCTGTACGTCTTCATGGCTTTCAGAGAACAAAGCAGCTTCAGCACAGATTCCCAGAATGCACCTGGCCCCGGGTCAGACATGGATCTGTCTGAGCTGGAGATGGAGAGCGAAGCGTTATGAGAAACTGTGAACATACGACCCAGTATGTCCCAGTACAGAACCAGGCAGGATCAGGCAGAACCAGGCA